TTTTGATTTTTGAACAGCTGCAAAAAGTAAAAAGATGGCTTCCAAAGCCAAAAACAATGGGAAGCTTTGCAAAATTAACATTAATTATTTTCTGTAACACAAAATGAATGTTCCTGTTTATGTAGAAAAGAATTCAGCCCATCCAAACATTAATTCTCGAATAACCTAGCCTACATGTACATGGACGCCGCCATGTGCATGTTGCTTGTCACTAACTTCCATCGATAACCGGATGCTTGTTCCCGGCGTTCGAGCGGCCGACCCACGAACAACAAATCGAGCTGTTCGTGAACACATGGGAACAAACCGCCCGAACTGGGCCAACATGTCAACCTGTAGGGGGCGCACCTACGTCATTGTGATTCGCCTGTATCCGCTCCGAACGGAGCAAAAAGAGGGCGTGTGGGTTCTCGCAGCAGAGGCGTGCGTTTATAAATGAGATCAATGACGCGTTTGATGAGGAGCACTTCGAGTACGCGTAACAAATTTGTTCCAGAATGTATGGTCTTTGAGTAAACGCAGAACGGTAGCAAGAACCCGCTTTAAAATCTCACCTGTCCCTCTTTTGCCTCTTGGGCCTGGGGCTGCACTTCAGCTCGGGGGCGGATTCCTGGGAGATGTGACATGCTGAAACACTGATGAAAATGGAAAACTCAGCTAGTTGGTGATGGATTTTTTTTAGATTAAAAATCAGTTCCCTCCACTTTGACACGTCTACGGCAGACATAAAGCTGCAAAAAACTTCTTAATTATGAAAACCCTAAAACGGCCAGGGGCGGGATACACCTCCCTCAACATTTTTTCCCGATGTCGCCGCAATGCATTTTTGTCAGCAGTTGAGCCTTTAGGAGTTTTTAGAGTAGCTCTTTGCAGTCATTTTGACATCAGTTTTGTGAAAATGGCACATGCAGCTCTTGCGCAGCTGGCATTTTTTCCGAGGTGTGTCAATCAAAAGTGTATACCTTTTCCACTGCGGTGCTCAATGTTAGCAGGCTTTGGCACATATGTAGCCTTGAACTTCAAATGTTCGTATTTACAAAACTGTACGTGTGATCGAGTTCACACTTCAACTTTGTAATGACATGGAGAGTTTGTACAAGTTTCGAAACAATTGGGAGGGCTTAGCTGAGTTCTTAGGGGGCAGATTCCGCCCCCTTAACTGTGGGTTGGGCCAAAATAACCAGGCTCTTTTACGGTTATCAATTTTTTCCATTCTAAGTCAACCATCCTTACATTTGTATCCGTATTTATAAATGCCTTGTACAAATTCTTTATTTCTGATTAAATTCCAAATAGAAGTTTCGTGAAATTCTTTTGGGGTAGTGTTTTAGTACCACGCAAGTACAACGTACTTTTTAACAAACGCAAGAACGGTACAACGATTGTTGCTTATGGGGTACTTCCCATTTTTTTGTACCCCACAAGACACATAAAGTTAAATATGAAATACACGAACTCTCCATAAGGGTAAAATCATGTTCTTATATCTAGCAGCGCCGTAGCTACACAAACTCTTCCACAGTGTGCATCAACCGTCCTATTTTAAAGAAAACCCTTTTAATTTATTGAATCTCCACAGCTGGGCTGAACGCCCTCACCTGCCAATTGTGCAGCATTCTCAACAGCGACTGCTCCGACCCTTCCATGGGCAGCTACTCGGGTAACTACTCCGTTGCCTGCGGCAGCAACGACAACGCCTGCTCTGTGAGTAAACACGGCCTGGACCGCTCCTCGTTCGCTGGCCATGAGGCATACTACATAGACAGTTCGCTTTCCCAACTAAACCGTAAAGAAATAAATAATTTAAAAAAATAAATAAGTAAAAACCTTGGCATAATTTATCGAACGAAGGGCAAATTATCCGCTGCCTAAACTGTTGGTCTTTTCTTACGCAACAGTTGCGTTATCCCCACCATAACTCGCTTCGAGCGGAACAAAAAAGGGCGGGTTTTTTGGGGTTTTTTTCTCCCCGCATAGGCGCCATGAGGCGCGCAAGTATATGCGCGTTTGACGCAGAGCACGCTGAGTACGCGTAGGCCGTGTCCGAAACGGGCTTTCAGGGCTACGGTTAGGTCTATTGTCTACGCATCTCCGCGCATTTCCAATGGAAGGAAGACCTAGACCTAGCTCTAGACAAGAGATTCGAATGCAGCCGTAACTAATTTACTCCGGCATGTATGGTCTTTGCGTACACGCAGAACGCGTGCAAGAACCCGCCTGTAACCACCTGTCTTTCTTTTGTCGATTGGGTGTGCACTTCAGCCCGGGGCGGATTAACCCACAGCTGGAGTAGCCAAAGGACACAGACTATGTGTCGACCATATTGAAATGAAGTTACGGTCGGGCTTACTTTACCCGTGAGTAGAAATAACAGCAACGAAGTCATAAACTTGTCTTAACCGCTCCGTGCTAGTTTGTTTTTGTCCAGAATAAGATACAAAATTGTAATGAATTAAAATGTTTATTTAAAAAATAAAAGTAAAGCTCAGAACCCAAAATAGTCTGGCACCGTCCCTTTTGACAAATTGTATTAAATATGATATGTTCAGAGAACAAGATTTCGAAATGGCTTCCCTGTGAATAAATTCCATTGTTGGGGAAAGTGGTAGTATCCACGTTTTACAGTGTTCTTGTTGCTGTAATGTGCATTGTGTTATATTGCAGCGACATGGGAATACTATTGATTTTGAAATGTTCGTGTGATTTCAGTGCTAAAAGCGAGAGAATCGTGAGAATACAGTGCATGTGTGATGCCAGTGTTTTTCCCCGTGAATATCTGGGTCTTCCTTTAGACCCTTTTTTTTCGGTTCTTGTTTTATTTGTGTTTTGTTTTATTTTTTCGTTTGGGTTTTCTTTAGTTGCGATCGTTTCGTTAATTTACGGCTTTGTTCTCGTTCGTCGTAAGACATGGATGAGGTTTTTTTTCAACTTCATGTAAAAATACTCAGCTATGCGCCCCACCGATACGAGGTTCATTTTCCTGCTTCAGGAACACTGGACTGTACTGTCCGATACCAGGCCAAAGTTTGCAACGCAAGAGTGAAACATTCAGATATAACTCCAAAGCCCACAAGATCGGTGACGAAGCTAGGCCGCGTCCGGATAACACGGCTATGGCTTAATCTACACAAGACTCTGTGGGAACTGGCCGCGGCCACTACTACATAAACAACGTGTAATTTTAGGCCACAGCCAAATAATTTGGACACGGCCTTAAGGGGAGGCGAATGGTGTTACTTTATGAGACGGTCATGGAGTATTCTGATTGCGCATGTCACACAGTACGCATGCGCTGGCATCATTGTACACTAAACATGTGATCCCTGTTATAATCGGATGTGGTCAGTCCCGAAAAAAAAAATGGCTTATCTGGTAAGTATAGGTAAGAAAGTAATCGTTTGGTTTTTTTTGGTATCAAATATTAGAAGAAAACAACACCATGATATAAAAGTAAGGATGTCGGGACTGTTACTAAGGTTTTAAATTTTTTTTCGCGCAACATCACGCGCCAGGAGCCCGAAGCCGTATTCACTATTGAAATTGCCCCCCTCTGATACCAAAAGCTGGATACGCCACTGAAAACTAAACGGCAAATCAAGCACGTTCCCTTCCCCCGGCCCCTCCCCTCCAAACTTTTTTGCAAGATTTATGATGGGCCGGTGCTTAATGGACCCATGGATGATGCTTGTGATGATCTCACATCTGCGCGCCCCGCCACTTAAAAAAAAAATCGTTCTGCCTCACATGCTCACAAGTATTACCCCTGGCCTTGCAGCGAGACAATCTGCCTATGTGCTGATTACGCCACACACCCACGGGCCGGTGTGTGAGGGTTGAAAATTCGTCGCTCTATTAAACCTATTCTCTTGTATTATTTCTTTTCATCTGATAAATCAGAAAATCGTTGTCAAGTTGGACGGGAAAGTCACGACCACCACCCGCAGTTGCTCCTCCAGCTGTGACGAGAAATGTGTCTCCGCCTTAACCCTTGAGACCTGCCAATACTGCTGCACCACCGACGACTGCAACGGCGCAAGCACGCTGACCTTTAGCCTCGTAACCGCCTTGGCTGCCGTCGTCTTCGGCGCCCTCGCTGCTCACGGCGTGTAGGATAGAAGTTCTCTTTGCATGTGAGTGTGGGGTGCGTGTGTGTTTCGTGTGTACCTTGTGCTCGCTGACTGGTCAGAAACCTCGAGAGGCACAGTATCACTTTTGAGACATCCATACAGAGACAGGGACTAGGACTGTACCCTCTGAAATCTGGGCTGATGAGCGGTATACCTGATTGGTAGCGAGTCTCAGATTATCAGAAATAAGGGAAGTCTTCACTTTAAAATCGGAAAACAAAAATGAAGGAAACCAGCAGTCTGATGTGTCGTCTCTGTTGGGTTAACGTATCTGCTTGAATTTGTGTGCAGGGATTTGTTTGATAATGCTTGTTGTGCGTTAGTTTCAGATTTAAAAAAATACCCGTTGTTAGAAGGATCCTTTCCAGTTTCACACAAAACATAAACAAATAAGTCGTATGCTTTCTCATTAAAGGAGAAACCGGTAGATTAATTGCAATAAAGTAGCCCATTTTTCTTCTTTTTTTCCCATTGTGTTTTCCTCATCAAGTTCAGCTGCATTAAATTTGTTTTATTTACGTTTTATGCAAGAACACATTTCAGCTACTTTATGTATCTGCTCTTTACCATTATGTCAGGAAATGTTACAAAGAAATTGACAATACAGGTGATGTCCATATGACCTAGATGAGACCATTTGGTACAAAGATCTTCATCTGTCGTTTAAACTACCAGATATCAGCATCACACACTGGATAAATAATGCACCATTTATGAACTGAATTGTCCTGATGATATACAGCTTGAGATTTATTGGTTGAGGGTTACTCTGGAGCAGCTAATATGCTTTATGGCTGCTGCAAAGTGGATTTATATTTACTTTGAAGAACACTATTCTGATGTGCATTGTTGGTTGAAGTTGAAGTGTTGGTCAGAATTGATATCGAGTTGGCTTTGCCCAGAATCGTTTTACCCACCAATTCTCATGCTACAGGTAGTCTACATAGGGGGTTCGAATTACGAAGTCCTTGCACGTGCCCTGCCTGATCAGAACATTGCTGCTTATTGTAATTTAAAAATAAATAGGCATGAGAAAGTGACGTCCGTTTTAGAGTGTCTTGACCATATCAGGCTCACGTTCGGAAGAGTGGTGCTGCTATGGGTGGATGCGATAGGATTGCCTAAAGATTTGAATATATTTAAGGGTTTTTTCTCCTGTCGCAAAAATGAACAAAAGGTGATCCCCTTTTCATCCATTAGTGAAGTAGATGGTCTGGAAAAATAGTTTTCCCCTTCTATTTTCTACTGGCCTAGCAAAGAAAAACCCTCTTCCTTTAAGGAAAACGATATTAAAAAACTAGTGAGTCAGAGCGCGGGTTCGATAATTCAGAAGGATTAACCCATGGGAGAGTCGAGCGTTAAATTTATGGTCGGATTGTCCTATTTAAAGGTCCTTTCTGTTATCAGGCTTTCTATATAATTATCATTTAAAGGGGGGTATCGTTTTCAGCTGAATTGGGCCTGGCGGCTTATACCACTTACTGTTTACTGGAGTTTCATTAAATAGAAGCAGTTCTAGATTTATTACCGGTTTTCGTCAAGTTCCCTGAATCACGCATGGAAAAGGCTGCAGAGAATGACACAGACGCCAAAATTGTTCGCATTACTATAGCGATTCTTCTGCTGAGACATTTGAAGATATGGGACAGCTAGAGAGCACCCCCACCTTTGTGATGGTCATGGTTTGACAGGGAACTCAGGAATTCTTTCAGACATCTACGGGGTGTATAAGGTATAGTCTAAAGTGTGTACATGTATAACGATTGGACATGTGGGGGGGTACCCCTCCGTCCCATATCGAACTATAGACTGATTCCCGTCCTGTACATAGTCTCCAGACGTCTTGCAGAAGTCCTCCGAACGTGGGGACCAGAAGTGGGCCACTAAAGCTTTGCCAATGGCCTCGCAAAAATTTCTATATTCACCATCCAAATTGACAAGGCTAATCGTACACATTAAACTACATCTAGCTACAGGCACCTATATAATAGGGACGGGGAACATTCCAACTACCCACACAAGCATGGCTCTTTTCAACCAATGAGGGGGTGCTTCTACTCAAAGCAAATATAGTGCCTATAGTGATCAGTGGACGGTGGAAAGTGAATCATTATAGCTTAAAAATAGTTACATGTGTTTGAATTCGAACCGTCACTTGATATTAATCCTACAGTGATAACTATGGAATTCCACATCTGCCGTTGCGCAGTAGTATTTTTAAATTTGACCCTTGATCGTTTCACATGTCCATGTACTTGTTCGATCGATCCATCGTGCCTGACTCTCATTTTAGCAGTACAACTAGAAGATGTATTCGTTTTTGCAGTTGCGCTGAACTCCACTTGAAAGAAGAAATAACACCCTTTCCTTTTTAAAGACTGACATCGGTAAAGTGACTTCTAAATGAAATAATACTATTTTTTGTTAAATAAATGAATTAACGAAGTTGACTTTTGTGAGGTGATCCCTGATTGTCTCTAATAACTCTTGAGGGCCTGATGCGCGCCTCTTGTTCGCTTTGCCTGTGTCGTCTTTATCTTCCTGTAAGATGGTGGTGTCTCTGATGGCAAAACGTCGGCCGTTGCGGAAGTCCACGGTCCTCAGGCTGACCTAGAGGAACGTTTTAGCCCAAGGGCCGCTCTCCACGGTGCGGATCGTCTCCGCGCTATCTGCGAAGAACTCGATGTCTGGCACTCCAGATCGGACACCATAAACGTAAAACATTCACCATCAATGCCTACCCTGGCGGCCACATGTTCGTTGTAACGGTTGATCCTGTGCAATCATCGGACGCTGCCGTCGACGTCAATTGGTGAACCTGTGCGTCATAAAATAAATCCACATAAATAATAAATAAGTCCACATACAGACAAAAAAACCTGCGTGTTTTCTGAGTAAATGCTTCGGAATTTTCTCACCTAAAGCTCACTCTGCAGGACATGTAACCACTTTCCGATGATTGTTATAACATTTTAAGGGGAAATGAGTGCTTTCCGTATATGGGACTCTCTCCCACCAGTGCTTCAGCGTGACTGCCATCCATGATTGCACTGATTTCTGTCTCACAGATCAGAACCACACGATAATTACCTGTCTGCTCGATATGTGGGGATTCGCGATTGCTGGCTTGTCGGGCGGCGAATCCCCACTCTTCAAAACCACGTCCTCTATCACCCTCCTTATCGACCTCTTTTTCAGCCACGTGACTTAACGTTAAACAATACCACCACGTGTTGAGCGCATATGCGAACGCTCCATGCTTGACTAGTGTATTTTGAATAGGTAAATTAGCATCACAGCACTGTGCACTCATTACCAATGGGGGGGGGCAGTGAGAGCCGGATTTGAATCAGCTCAGTGGAGAGGGAGGGCGCCCTCTGGATTTATTCTCTCGCTCACTGGGTCCTGGGTAGGTGGACTGTAAGGCACACCCACGCGGCGGTGGAAAGTTTCGGGAACCACATTAAAGAAGAAAGGAAAATTATGTTCTCATTAAATAAGTATTCTCTCAGTGTCATTACAACCCGAGAGAGCGTACTAAAATTATATGCTAGTTTGATCCCTAAAAAGGCCAATCAGGATACTTTATATTATCCAACAGAAACTGAATAATCTGTTCATTCTTTTTACACTGAGAATATTCCATCAAATTCTCTGATACTAGTACCTGGTACACATTGCAGCTTTACCATGGGAGATATGTTGAAACTAAATTGCAGTAAAGTTCCCCCCCCCAAAAAAAAAATCCACTAATCCATCTCTGTAGTACCACCCATTACGCAAACTTTTGTTAAGTAAAAAAAAAAACACTTTTAACCCACGAGCTGATCATCAGGTCGAAATTAGCGAAAGATCTACTTACGCAAGAGGGCGCTTTCAACAGCGATCTGCCGCATTACAGTTCTTATCTCACAATGAGGCTTTTCTTCACCAGGAAACAAAACTGAATTTCGGATGAAATACCTACAAAGCATATGCACTAAAGCTCACTGTGCTTCCAAATATGTATCAAACATATATGAATTCATGTATAAACACAGGGATAGGCTTGCCTACTTCCAAAAAAAGAAAACAAACAAACTGGAAGGTTTATACAAACTTTACAGATAGCAAAGAAAATAAATATCTGAATGACAAAAATGTATGGTACCTTGCATACCATCAAAGCACTTGTGGTTGCTCAACCTGCGTAACTTGGACCTGCACAGCCGCAGCCCACCCGGTCTGCCAGGGAAGCTATATGTCGGAGAATATAGTGGCTTGGGCTGGCAATGACGCATTGCGTCTATCTGTTACAGCAAAGATAGCCACTGAGTTGCGACCACACTGAGTTCCTACAGATAAGTGCCTTCCGCCAGCCACGATACCGAATACTGATAGCATATAATTTTCAACACTGAAAGACTCGATTGTTTCTAGGCAAATTGGAGCCGTATACGGTTGCAGAGACCAGTATTGTAGGTCAAAAACTGCCAGCGCGGACCGAAGCAGGATTTCTAAACTGTCAAATTCTCTGCTATTAGAGCATTTCGTGGCACGTGGATTGGGTGGTTTGTACAGGAGGATAGAATCTAGGAGCGGGACTTCCAATTAGTATTTGTGAAAGTATCAAACCAAACGGGGCCCTCTGAATTGCTCTATTTGTCCATGAAGTGTGGCTATCAATTCTCAGAACAATGATGGGCCTCACAACTGTTTTTGACAGGTGATTATCTGTGGAGAAAAATATCTTCAAAACTCATTTAAGCCCCTGAAAATTGAAATGGAAATAAGAGATAAGGAAGTCAGCTTTAGTTTGACAAGTGTTTTGAACACCTGAGAAACTTGTAAGTATCTTTCCTTGATTATTTTTGAAATGGGAATGTTATTACTGTTGTCTATGGCAGCAGCTCCTTTATGGTCTGCAACCGTACACGGTAAGTCACAGCGCCCTCTATTGCAAAAATCCTTTCTTAAAATGGCATTTGACTGCAACTTTCTATGAGCTGCCAAAGATTTCAGAGAATTGTGCTCAGTACGTTTGCCTAGACGAGCACGGGCGGCATTTATATTTAGCACGAGGCAGAGTTATTGATCATTGGGTGTGCTGATATTACTTTTCATGAGGTAATGTGATAGGTCCAATATTGTGACTGAGTCTAGCCTATTCTTGTTTTGGCTTAAATGCACTCACTGCTAGCCACAGTTTTGCCGGTCGACGAAGCCGGTTGGCAAAAACTGAGCCTCTATGACGAAGCAAAATAAAGGTCGGCGACCATGGTAACCGCGGCTGTCACTCGTGGTTTACAATAGCCCAGGTGACGGCGACCAGCGTTGTAAGAACTAATGCACGCGTCGGAGCCATTGTTTTGTAACAGTTTTACATCACATTTGTTGGAGGACTTGTAAAATTGAGTGGTCATCGGTACAAAATCAAGAAACGTATTCTCTCAGTGTTAACAAATCGCACGCAGCTTCTCAAAATACCAAATATTAAGCCCTATTAATTAGCATTGAAAACTCAAGCTTCTGTAGGATAGTGGGCCAAAGTGAATATGGAGTTTTATATTCAGCACGATATATGGTAAAGGGGCACCCTCCCTAATGTGATGCACAGCTATATACCCTAAGGCTATTGTGCCTACTGCAACCCCCCGGATATCTGAAAGGAATTCCAAAGGCTCTGTTAACACAAAAGAAGACAATATAGAGGGGGTCCCGTTTGCTACACATCGTGCATCAAATGTGGAGTTTACATCAGACAGAACAAGATCGATCTGCAAATTGTGGCCACCTTGAGAAATATCAGCCGAAATCAAAGCGGGCTATATACGAGTACAGGCTGGTAATGTGCATCTATTCACCTGCTTAGATAGGCACGCTGGGCGCTCGATGAATACATCTTCGGAATGGCACTTCTTCATCGATTTTTGGAAGGCGTTTGCATTGACGTGACCCGCATTGTGTACGCGCCACCGATGAAGGAAATAGGTCCAACAAANGCCCGTTACGTAACAGCCGTATTAAACCGCGCCAGCGATGGCAACCGGGAATAGACTGTAGACACCGTAGGGACAAAAAGAAACGTTTCCATGGACGCCGGCTCGAGAACGATAACGAAACCGTACAAGTCGCTGTGTTCATGCTGCAGTTTGGGCAACTGGCCGGGCAAAATGAATCCCATGTAGGCCTACAGTTCAGTATCACGCGTGTAACGGTAGCGTTCCATACGCAGCGGCACGTCGATATCGATCCACACGCCTTCACCAGCGAAATCTCTTTCGCATAAGCCTACATAGGCCTACTTCCCTGTCGTATGCATAGGCTTTACTTCCTTGTCACTTGCGACTTCCTTCTATTCGCTTGACCACTTTTCCCCCTCATATTCCTGCAACAACACAACACCGACTTTGATCGGAAAATTTATGGGATAAATTGGAAAATTTCTTTTCCCTGCCATGTTTATTCTCAAAGTGTCAAGAACATATACCACAACACGTTCATCGTTTCCTCCATTATAACCCTGTTCACTGATCTGTCGTCCCTTTGCCGACATTTGAAACAATGTCGGGGCACATTTCGTATAAATTTTTCTTTTGTCAAAAACAAATGGCCTTTTATCGTACCCTTATAGTTTTAAGCAACCACTTTATCTGTTCACCTGTTTGCTCTAGAAGATTTGGAAAATACGTGAATTTGTCAGGATGATGTTAAACTCCTAATATGACATGCGAAAGTAGATACTGGAGGAAATGAAAAGCCATGAAAAGTCAACAGTTTTGTACATGGCATGGCACTACATCATTTAGAATACATACACATTTTTTCATGGCTAAACGTAAGCCTGCCATAGTATGACTGCCAACCACGCATGTGGTGGCATTTTCTTGAGCCATTTTGGACTGCTGCTTGACAACGGCCTTTCAAACTGGGACTCCTTTGAGGTTGAGGCAACACCTTTCTTCAGCAAAACAAAAGCGCCAAAAACAGTAACGCAACGGAAAGAGTAAACAGCGCTGTCACCATGACTGCAACCAGTCGGCTGGATCGAGACGGCGCCGAATTGGGCTCCCCTCCGACGGATTGCCCCCCCTCGCGGGGTGGTATGAGCATTGAATGATCCCCCCACCCGATTGGGCGCGATGAATCGCGAGCGGTGACCGTGAGGACTGGACTGCGCTTGCGGCCTTGGGTCATTCGTAGCAACGGCATCACAGAAGACGCAGCGGCCATTGACACGCCAGGTAAGTAAATTTACGTAAACTGCTTGTACAAATATCTCCCGTGAATGCTAAATTAGCTTGAAGTATCTCATGTTATCTAATTTATGTCTGTTTGCTCTTGAACATCTTATTTACAAATTATAAAGCCTTCTAGGAGCAAGTAAAAATTGTTTACAACGAAGTCAAATAGTTCAATATTTACCGGTATAATACTGAAGGGAAAGAGTTCCATATACGGACGCCAGTAAAAGCAAAAGTAGCAGAAATCCAAAAGCATGTCCAGATAAGTTCAATTTAGGAAGGAAAATACGAAGTCGTTCGCTTAGAAAACACTTAGAATTTTTCAGACCAGTCTCTTAGGGTTTGGGCACGGGGTGTCATGTGGCGTCTGTATATGGAGTCTTTCAATGCCGAACATGCACGCTGAGAAACTTGTGAAATGCCCGTTAAGCGTTGTGAACTTCTCCAACCCAAATGGCATACAGAGTGCCTTCCATTCATTTTAAGACCAAACATTTCTGAAGGACTTGGCGTTCAAAGTAGTTGTGCTAGGAGTGAGTCTTAGTATAGCGAAATTGATCAAATATGGGTCTCTTTGCATGGGCGACTCGAAAAACGACTCCCCAAGTTTATGGGGTGGCAGATCATTTGTCCATGATACATTGTGAGGTCTTCTACCTCTAGTGCAAATAAGATAATTTCTTCCAAAAAAATTCTTTTATTGGATGTAAAATGTACGCTGACATGCTTTTTTGATTGCAAATGAACGCATTTTGCTGGCCTTTTTTAATGGAAGCTGAATGGATGGACCACAGCCAAATGTCCTTAGTCATTCAGAAATCCCTCAAATAAGGGACTCTTTCTATCAATAATTGACTATACAGGCGGACGTTAGATTAAGCTTGCAGAAGGCCTCACTCGAGGTCTACAGGAGTTCACTCAGCTGCTTTTGCGGCAATCGATGCTTCATCTTTTCGATGTTTTCCCCATTTTGCAGATTTTCACGAAAGACCGGCAAACCGTGTAACTACAGACAAACATGAATACTCTCGCCACCCTGGTTATTTTGGCCAGCTGTTTTGGTAAGTTTCTCGTTATGGTAACCACAAGCAACCATTTGATGGGCAATGTGTGGTAAAGGGGACCCCCTCTGTCGTGTTGATGGATTAACAATGATAAAAGAATCCTTTGTCACGGCTCATTTAAACAGCTTGCGTATTTGGCTTATGACTTGTGATGGACTTAGAGGGGCTTGCAGGGACTCGTCATGGACTTAAAACACAAAAGGAGGGCATGTATAGCACAATTGGCTGGTTGTTTTTTGTAAACAACCTGAATTTGTCACCGGATGAAATACCTGTCCTGGTGTTATACTAACAACTCCACAGCTTTAAAGAATGACATTGTTCCACATTAAGTGTTTCCACCTTTTGCCTAAGTACGTGTGCATGTACAGTCGAACCTCATTAATAATAATAAGAGACCCTTTGGACTTGACAAATTACCTTGTTATAACAGGAATCTGGAATTATCAGGAATTAAAAGAATGGCCCAAAAAAAAAAAAAAGGATTGGTGCCCAATCTTATTAGTGAGGTTCGACTATACACGGGCACGTATCACTGATATCATTTCTTCCACTGCCACACTGTCTGTGTATCACCTCAGCCTTTCTGTGATTTTCACCACAGCTGGACTGAACGCCCTCACCTGCCACTCGTGCAGCATTCTCGACAGCGACTGCTCGGACCCAACTGACGGTACCAGCTACTCTGCCAATTACTCCACTAGCTGCGCCACCTCCGCTGACTCCTGCTCTGTGAGTCACACATGATTTTTGTCCACCTCGCTCCCTCTCTGGCCACAAGACAAACTGTTGACTTTGCTCAGCTCGTCTGTTAGTTGTTTTTCGTTGTTTTGTACATGTAGTGTGCACCGTACTGTAACTGAAGAGGTTGGTGTAACATAACGTTGAATTCTGAAAACGATCTTGAACCCCATAATGATCTCAGCGAACCCGTGAAAAGTCGTGCGATATTCAATAGAGGTATCCCAATACGACGCTTTTAGCGTCGATCTGCGCACTTCCGCGTTTGAAAACGAGGCTGTATGTGTCAGCTTCAATTCGTGATACGATCAGACGCTTGAAAGTAAGGATTCAAAACACAAAATACATAAAGGTATGTTAAATTCAGACTTTTCAGGTTGAAAATGTTTGTGGAAGAGTCTTTCAGGAACACTCTACACGTGAAATCCAAAGAAAAATAGCGACAATTGACCGCAAACTAACGTACCTGCGATGGTCGTGTATCTTGTACAGTGGGCGTGGTTTAAACTGAAGTGGCGCCACACTTAAGAACCGGATTCTGCATGTACTGTGTCAACTCTGCGGGCGCGCCCGACAAAGTTCAACACAGAGAGCCTCGGTTTCGATGAAGATATGCGCAGACGGCGCTAATGTGAAATCTCTCTGTTGCAGTTTCTCGAAACGCCATCGTTTACAGGAATTTTTACACCAGAAAGAGCAGTCGGGGCTTTCATTGATACGAGGAATCTCAATTTCTTTGTGCATACATTTCCCTCTAATACCCTGTTGTCTTGTTTTTATTCATCTGATATCATTAGAAAATCGTGGTCAAGTTGGACGGGACAGTCACGAGCACCACCCGTAGCTGTTCCTCCAGCTGCACCCAGCAATGTGTCTCCCTCTTCACCATTGAGACCTGCGAGTACTGCTGCACCACTGACGACTGCAACGGCGCAAGCGCGCTGACCTTTAGCCTGGCAACCGTGGCTGCTACCATCTTGGGCGCCCTCGTGGTTCACGTGTAAAAGAGTTCCTTTTGTAAATTTGCATGTGTGTTTGTGTGTGTCATGCTCTCTGATTGGTCAGAAACGTTGAGAGTAACGGATTTTATACTTCATAGGCTCGCGAATGCACCCGTTTGTGAGAGACTGCACACTTAATCTGGGTCGATGAGCAGGTGACCTGTGAATGGTTTTGCGAGTCCCGGAAAATCACAGATTAGGGTATTCATGGGCTTGGAAACATAAGGTAAAATGACACGTGACCAACAGTCTCATGAGCGTCTTCAAGATGTGAACGTTCATGCTTGAAATTGTGTGCAGATTTTCTTATACATTTACTGTACCTATCATTCTCGTGTGGTGATGGACTAGTTTCCTCGGAACTAGTTTTTTATCTTTTTATTTTCAACAGAATTGGATCACTGCTCTAGATCGATCTTACGTTTTTAGCTGGGCGTAGGACATTTTTTGTTTTTTGCATTTGCTTAGATGCAAATTCTGTGACACAAGAATACTGGATTGTTACGCAGGGTATAATTGCTACGCATTATCGTCATCTAATCACACTTTAACACCAATACACTGTACATAACCCTTTCTGGGACGATGTGATTCACTATTTTGTAAGAACAGTTTAGTGTATCAAATGGCAAAAATGTATAGCTGAAATGTACATATTTCTTATTAGTCACTGTATGACCTTTTACAAGTCATGTCCCATTTGAGTGTTTTAGCTTTTGTACTTAACCAGCGGGCTCCAACTGCTCCTTTAGAGTTCTGTTTTGTTACCGAAAGAAATCCATCACAAGTTGTCAGTATTACAGGTTCCGCTAACACATGAAAAACAGAGTTTGAAATGGACTTGAAATGGACCAGCGAAATCGTTTATTATTGTAAAGTGGATTTATATTTTGGTTGTAATAAAGAAACATTCTCCACTAATACAACATGGTTTGAAGGAATCTTTGCTTCATTTCCATTCTAACTTGCAGTTGCCTGCGCAGTGATTCTTACCCGAGCGCCCCCTACCGCTCAGAGTAATACATATACATGTCCAGTGTATACTTGCTCAATAAAACCACAAGTGCATTTGTTCAAGGAAAGAACGGGGTTCAATAAGCACCAGGACTGACCTTCCTATTTTGGCTTCATCGTTACCAAATTCTCTAGAGAAGCGTCATTGCTTACGAGCGGCGGAGCGACCTTCCTCTCTAAAAATTAACCTATTTTACTCGTAAAACCACCGTCGGATGGTTATACATGTGAATAATATCATTTTCCACTTTTCCCACTGTTTATGCAAACCTGGTGCCGTCAAAACTCAATTTGTTACCACATACATGTATGTACATTTACATTTTTTGAAACTCCCTTTTAGAAGCTCGTTTTCATCCTCAGCTGTATTCGAGGACAAAGCCCCATGCAGGGCAGTGTTCAGAATGCAGTCAAGCAGGTGAAATAACCCACAACTATGTTGATTTAATTGATTTGTCTTCTGCGTCTTATAAAGTGATAAACTTGGCATTGGCAGCGCCTGACAACCAATTGCAAGCGATTGCCTGAAGTTGGCAAAATGGCTGGTGGCCTGCCTCCACGTCACTCCAGCCAAGGCCAGTTCAACCTCCAGTGGCGTGTCGATGCCAATGGTCCGGAAGGGGGTCCAGACTAGAATTTTTTTAACACTTTCATTTCCACAGGAATCCCCTGACCACCCAGAAAGGTGATGGAACTGTCTCTAAATTTTCCACGTCCCGGACGTCGATAGAAAACGTATTATATCTATGTCTCCTCACTTAAAAAATCATGTTGTTTGAAGCATTGCATAATTATCAAGACATCGTGCAATTGTGATACGATCTGCGAAAATTCTTCACCTGGTGAACTTTGTCACTTGGGTGCATATACATGTAAACTGTCAGTTGATTCTCTTGTTTTCAGATTTAACTACATACATGTATTCAGAATGATAGGTTGTCTACAACTGAATCAAGGTTGTCTGGAATCACAAATTAAACAGTTTTGAAAACAGGACAGTGTCGAGATCAATATGAAGTTGATATGCCTCCTAATGACAAAGCTCACCTTGTGAAGGCTTTTCGCAGATCACATCGCAATTTTGCAAAAATTGTCTTGAAGTTCATCAAATTCAACATAGGCTGGTCATGATTACACCTGCATTGCTCTTAAAGACGACGGTGACAGCCTGAAGTTTGACAAGTCAGAAGTTGCTTGTCAAATCGCCGCTATATCGATCTGTATTCACTTTAAATGTTGCTTTAGACACTTTGATACAACGCAGCTTCTCTCCTACGATCTTTGTGCACCGTTGCCCAGGAGATGCTGGGGATATTACATGTACATGTGCTACATCCACAAAACGTCCGCAATAATCCGCTTCAAGCGTATCGACGTTTTTTGCCATTTCATTGATGGTCAGAGTTGAGAATTAGACTCACAATGTTACCATAATCGATGCGCTGGTATTCGTAATGGTGCAGTGATGTCAGAGACAGGGAGCGCCCAGGGGCCAAGCTATGGGGTGTCTTGACGCAGTTATGTTTAGGCGGCAAATGCCTGGATACAGGATCAGTCAGAACTCAGTAAGTCAACGAAATATATGCAGTTATGTTTAGACGACAATACATGTAGAGTGTACTTGGATGCAAAATCAGTCAGAACTCAGAAAGATCATGGAAGCGCTGTTATACCTCAATGGAAGTGTCGCATTTTGTCGCAGGTCACTGATGGCATGTGGTCAAACAGCTTTCACCTTCCGTCATGTACCGTATAGCACCGTGTTCGTAGCCTACATGAAGTATTCATAAAACAATCTACTCTTTGCAGGGGGGCAAACTTGACTGGGGAATACATGTAATTGCCATAAACACCTTGCTTTGTTGAAGAAATGCAAAAGAGAAGCAACGAATTTACATATCATGACACTTATTCAAACAGAGCGGCCCTTCCCAACACAGACGTCCAGAGGGCGCTATTGAAGAGACCAAGAAAAGGCGCATCCAAGAGAGCATTTTGAGTCCAAAACTATGAAGATGGTGGATCTGAAGCCGAACAATTTATTTGTGCGATCTTTCTGACGTATTTTTCTGAGGTACAGGGCTTATTCTTTTTTTGGGGGGGGACGTCACTGTGCGCCTTCCGCATGAAACTAAATGGAAATTTATGTGCATGTATAGGCTTATATACAAGTAGTGCCCCAAAGTTGTGTTATTCTCTTTGTATTGCAAACGCAGAAAAAAAATTGCCTCTTCTTGCGAGGAGGTGTCTCTGCCTCACCTTCTGGATCTGCCAGGGCAGTCCAAGAAATAAACCACATCCAAAAATAATGACGAGGCGGTGTCCGAATTACCTAGCCACGCTCGGCGATAACAAGAGTGCCTGCCTAAGCCACTATTTAGTAACAGTGGTTGCAGAGCCTGAATTCCTGTAGACTTCTCTGTTCAGCCAAGCCGTAGCCAAGTAGTTTGGACACAGCCTAAGGCTGGGATTATCCGTATTGATCGGGCGTAGCTGTATACCACACCCCTCCGGAACTGCGATGGACAACTATCGATTATTTTTAGGCGTACATGTAGTTCACAGAGTGGCGTTTAAATCGGTTCGTGAGAGTAAGCAAATTACACCAACATTCATCGTTGTAAACTCGCACTTCTCGTTTGATTTATTTCTCGAGACACGCCAATACAGGGGCTCAGTGCATTTGATTATGAATGGACGGAAGACTTTCAAACACTCTTGACGCCAAGCTGGTTCCAAACTCACCCTTAACAATGAGAGTGTCGCACTGGCCAGTCGTCTTAGCTACCGTGACCACACTGCTCTGTGGTAAGTTAACGGAAGTATTAAATTCGAAATTGAGGGGGTTCAAAATTTAATCAAGACTTTTTGTTGGCGTACAGCAAATGACGAAGACTAGGGTGCCAAAGGCAGCAGACTGTGATTAGACTGATTTCACGAGAATCGGGATGTAAATACCACTCGTTAGGTCGAACAAGTTGAAGACTGCAGGAAAATATAGAGCTGGAGGAGAAATTTAAGGTGACGGAATAATGAAGTTCTTGTACGTCATGTGTTAAACCAGAAAAGAAAAAAGATGTTTCCAATTGTCACAATTTCTTGAGCCCTTTTTTGAACGAGGTGGGACGGAAAGAAGACTTTTTGGGGGAGGGGGGCCTACGTTTACCATGAACTGGATTAACGTGATCAACTGTAATACTGGGAGGAGAACTTAAGTGTGGAAGTTTTCTGTGTGTTTGTAGGTGTATGCAGCGCCCTCAAGTGTCACATATGTGATAGTGTGGATGGTCCAGGCCAGGACTTCTGTACTGAGGTGAAGTCAGGCGTAGACAGCACTGAACTGACGGGCAATGTGTCGTATACCGACTCCACCTGTGATAAGTATTGTATTGTGAGTATACACTTTTAGTGCCCCCCTCAAAAAAAAGTCTGCACGATTTCCAGTTTCCTTCAATTCACTGCTGAACCGACGTACACAGACTGATCGACTGATCGGAGAAGACACTACTGCGGTGGCGCCCTACCCACCCACAAGCACCTCATACTGTATATTACGAGCGAACGTGCACTTCGACAGGTCATACCACAATAATCGAAAAGGAACGCTTGTACGAGCTTCTTTCCACCGCAACAATGGGTCCCAAATGGGCCAACATGTGGGTCCTATTTGGGGGGGGGGGAACCATGTGGCGCAGCCATCTGTACAAAATGAAGGCTCGGATTCAAGACCTTAATCACAACTCTATTTCTCTCCAGAAAACTGAAGTCACCCGGGGACCCGAGTACCGGGACCAGCCCGACTACGTGCTGGCCGTGGCCAGGACCTGTGGCCCCAACTGCATCAACTACTGCTATCCACTGGCCGCCACGGAAGTGTGCATCCACTGCTGCAAGACGGATCTCTGCAACGGAGCGTGCGTGTTGAACTTTGACACGGCAGCCATATCCGCAGGAATTTTCCTACACGTCGTGGCTCAGCTGACAACCGGTTAATGCAGCTTTCCCTGGCGCGGCCGCCTCGACATGTCGTGAAGGAAGAGTCTGGTGAGCTCCTTGCGACTCTGAACCTTCCGCGTTGCCATTCTGCCTGGTTGTTTTGATCAGAGGTGATATCGGCGCAGTCAACCACAAATCAAGTTGCGAGTCAGTCAACGGTGTGTTAAAAATAAACACTGGCATGGAAATGGCCCCATTGCAGGTAATTCAAAGAGAGTTGTAACTTGGATGACCTCAGATTAACTATATAGTGATAGTTTGTGATGATTTGTCCTTACCTGATCACAGGAATGGTTGCACTGAGCTCATCTTGATGTAAACTCGTACTAGACAGCACGAGTTGAACTCGTTAAGTTATTAGCCACTGAAGGCGTTTCCTTTATCGGATTGACTGCGATGATGGACTGCGTTTAATTTCAGTACATTTTGGTGTCGTAAACATTAAATTTTATGGATAATACTTGCGATTCACATGAGTGCCCCTCTAAGAGTTTGCAACGCGTTGGCCAATCACAGCACGTAAAATCTGTCGGCCCTTTCTGAAGTTAACGCGCATTGGGTCGACAGGTTTCGCGCTTCGTGATTGGCCAACGCGTTGCAAACTTTTGGAGGTGCACTATTGTGAATGGCCCATATTGTACACCAAATTAATTACATAACATTTTTTCGGGTGAACTGAGCCACAAAGATTGAATAATTGAAGACCTTTGTTCATGTAGGTTCATTGCACATTTATTAACAATGGTTACTTTTCCTTGCTCAGTTGAGACAGATTGCTGTATCTTCACTAATGATGCTTTGCATTTCACCCTAGGATATTCTGGGTAAAATGAAATGCCCTAACCTTGTTACACGTAGGAAAATAGGCAACGTCATTCTTAACATGTATGTATTATCAAAGTCTCCACATTTCCATTTGCAGTCAAAAGATCTATTATTTTTTTTATTTGTACAGGCTACATATACGTAAATACAGTGGCTTTTACCAGAATGTACCGTAGATCTGTTTGAATAGTTTAACCGTATTTTGTTTGAAAAAACCAACAAGTGAACAGAGATCGGTCAGTGAACCAATTTTGATTAAAGACACAAGAAAATGAGCTTATGATATTGTATTAATTTATGTGCTCGAGGGTATGTGCTGCCCCCAAGTGTTTGGAAGGCTCTCCGCCTAGACTGCATTCCGAATGTAGTTGAGTTCCCTGAAATGAAGATTTCGGACAACTTTGGATAAAATCTTAGACGTGCACGTTTTATTTTATTCACCTCCGTTCGTATATCATAAACGGCTCAAACGTCCCAAAATCAGCGATACTTTCCGAATGTTGGCGATAAGGAGCTCGCAACATTTTGAACGTTTTCGGAAAATGGGAAATATTTTTGATTTTGTCACTTAACATCGGGGAATACCCGGACCCTTCAATCGAAAGAGATCAGCATATTTTATTGGGTATGGGAACTAGACGACTGTTGAATCAATCTAGGCAACAATCCACGATGATTGAACAAACTCCTAAACAGGACTAATAACATTGCTTTTTTTACCAGCTTTTTTATTAGGTACATTGCTACATCTCTAAGAATTTGAAGTCGCTTCTTTGAAACTAAACCAAAAGGACTGAAGAGAAAAGAAATAATAATTATGATGTGTTACGGCTGATTAAACAAAGAAAATTTCATAAACTCAGAGTTTAGGAGGTCTTAATGGTAAAGTTGTTCTGTGAAAATACCTCTACACTAACCCAACCATAACGGGGAAAGGAACGAATCCACTTCGTTCAAATGAAAGACATGTTCTCTCTTGACCTATTAAGATTATCCCCAGCAGGGAAATTTGATTTCTCATAATAGTTGATGCTTCAGCCATGCAGTTTTGCAACAGGGATGTTGTGTTTTGCATGAAGCCTTTGGCAAGTTCAATGTTGAGGTATGCTTGTTGATGTGACTCCTTGTTGGTAAAACGTCAATCACGTAAATTCAACGGCTTCTACCAGATGGCGCGACTGCTTGTAGAATTAACCACGTTTTGTCTTTAAAAAAATTAGGTCATGGATCCAAACTTGATTAGAGAAATAGAGAAATGAGTCTATGATGTTGTATTCATTTACGTGTGCAGGGGGTTGGCTGCCACCAAGTGCCTAGAAAGCCTCCGCTGAAACTGCACGGTGGATATAGTTTGGTTCCCTGACGTAAAGATTCCTGATGACTATTGATAAAATCTGTCCTCCAAATTTAGATACATTTCATGACGCAACATGTCAGGGGTCACCACAGAAGAGGTCACCCCATGATAGAAAACGGATGTACTTAACATTACACACAATGGCACGAGATACACAAGAAAATATCTGTTGACGAACATGTAAAACACACCAAACAACCCTTATCAAGCCCCGCTGGATTCCCCGAAGGCGCATTTTTAGATGCAAGCGTTGCTCGGTTTGTGGGACACGTTGCTTTGACAAAAGTGCGGGGTGATGTTTATCTTTGAATACGGAACGAGCCAACAAGAGAGCTTGATTGTAAGCCTAAACTCTAGAATTCAAAGATCAGCCGCCGTTAATATGTCCATTGTGACCATGTCTGTGTCCTTTAGACGTGCTTTCATTAAAACACCCCCGTATACTGCGTATAATTAACTGCCGAAAATGTTTGACCCTCATCTGTACCATCCAAACGTTGGCAACAAGCAGTTTGGAATATTTTGGATGTTTTCGAAAATACGGTGGGATTCTTCTGATACCAGACCCTTTAATCAAAAGAGGCAATCAGATTCGTCGGAATTGGGAACCAGACTACTGTGGATACTGAATCAAAATGGGCAACAATCCACAATTGAACAAACTTCCAAACAAGACTAAAACATTTGCTTTATAACTATCTCTTTTATTAGCTACATCTCGTAGAACGCAAAGCAAAAGGACGAAAGAGAAAGAAAATGACGATCATGATTTGTTACTCATTGGTGATTGAAAAAAGAAAGTTTCGCAAACTCAGAGTTTAGGAAGTCTTAACGGTGAAGTTGTTCTGCGATAACATCCACGCACTATAACTCAACCATAACGGGAGAAGGTAGAATCTACCTCGTCCTTACGAGAGAAATATTCTCTCCTATCCTATTAAATCTTCAGGCAGAGAGTCTCGAGCATGCAGATTGGAATTCAAGAATAACGGCACAGTTTGAGTTTGAAATCATGCAGTTTTTCAATGAAGATGTTGTCTATTGTTGTAAAACTTTGACGAGTTTCATTTTTAGGCATATTCCCTTTCTGCAGTACATGACACCTTTTGGTGAAATGTATCTAAAATTAATATTTCAAACTTATTCAAAATGGCACACAACTAAAATGATTACGTAAGCATACGTATACTCTGAAGAAACAGGTGTGAGATGGTTATTGCCTTCCAACCTAGTTTTACCCAAAAACTGGTTTTACTGCCGAAAACCACACTCCATGCACACTGGAAGAATATTCCGTGCGCACGCGTAATGATTCAGGGTAACTTGAAGCTCATGAAGTATGCTTGATTTTTTTTCGGATAAACTTATCGGATTTCACAAGATTGGTTTTCTGGCAGTTCGTCTCTAGAGGGCGCTGTATTCACATACAGCGCCCTCTCCTGGTACTGCTATTCGGCCGTTCTCGCCAACGCATTACGCCTGCACGCTGCACTGGCCTAAACAGTAAAAGCTGTCTTGGGGTAAGACTATAACATTGACCCGGACATTAGAGTTTGTATGTAAAAGTTTGCATCACAAGTATCTGGCAATGTTATTATGTATATCGAGTCTCCAACGAGTTGTTAAATCATTTCAAAATAACCCACACAAAGCGAAAAAAGCAAAGGGAAACTACAGCTGACTGTCTGCTGGAAGTCAAAGCTAATAAAGGAACTATTCCATAATGCGATTGTCTGCTCCAGCAACGTTGTCATCTCTGTTCACGGCTACCTTCAACAAGAGCAGAAAGGAAACAAAAGAAGAAGAAATAAAGAGCATTTGAAGGACTTGACAAATAAGCACAGGCTTATGTTTTCCAGCTTTACAAAGGGCTTGCATTTCAAACTATTCGAATACGGCAGCGAAGGTGTTGCGTTTGTGTGGAAGCAGGCTCTTTGACCCAATACCGGTGCTTCAGTAACTTAGTATTTTTAAACAGATATCTCTTGACTGCAGTCCTCTAAAGAATAACGGGTAAGAGGTGATTCCCTTTTAAGTGAAATATTCGAGCAAGGATTTTCTTGCGTTGTACTTTAATACAGAAATATTCTCAATAAACACGCATGCCCAAAATGCGTCACGTGAATGAAGCAACAAATCCCGAGGCACGAGATTTCGTGCAGTGTCACGAAGCTGAGAGTTCATCTCATTCGTATAGTCGCTCCACAGTATACATGTAGCGGGGCAGATTTCCTACAATTCCTTAGAATGCGAATCTCTCAACTCGATCAAAAGCATTTGATAAAATTACACGCTCACATAAAAACAGAAGTACAGTCCTTCAACGACCGATGATGAAGTTTTAGTGAGCCATAAGCTCTCTTTTTCCACATTTAGCAAGGCAGTCGAGCTGCGCAAACTTGGACTGGCGGCTGCCTGTGCTAGAAATCAGCCTTACTGATCCCAGTATGGTTCGGGTAGAGAAAACAAAGTTCAAAGTTTTGCCTCTGTTGACTGATGTGTCTGCCCAGAGTCAGCCACCTGCAACTCGATCTAAACCTCGGTTTTGACCGTGAGCACAGGGAAGGTCAGCAGTGACAGTGGGAGACCGACCACTTCACGAGCATGGCTTACCTGTGGAGATTTCACTTGCGCTGGGCCTTCTTCCAGTGCCCTACCCTTCGCGCCATTTTCTTCCATCCTGTCTTGGTGGCTCTCTTCCAACCGCCAAAGATATCTATGTAATAACACCGAACACGTACAGATTAATAGTGTATCAGGTGTTGGACATCAAACAGATATTCCTTCTTAGAATGTTACCTGAAAGGAAATGATGAAACCCGACCACTTCTATAAAAGGCGAACTTACAGAAATTGCGCCAGTGTTTTGGCTTAGCACAATTATGTTAGCGCTGCATTTGTATTGGCAATTTGTTCATCTATATCACACGCTGAGATTATTTACTTTTAGACTTGACATTTTTAAATGTCTTCCAAACACAGAGCACTGAGCCCGCTTCCAAAGCTTTGCCTAAAAAGACATTTGCGATCCCAAGACTTACCGCAGAAAAGTTCGTCCTCGCCTGCACTGCAGTCGTCCTCACCGTCGCACAAGTCTGTGTAGTCGACGCAGTCATAGCTAAAGAAACACTGGAACTGGTAGCCGGGGCAATTTCCAGGGTGAGGTGGAACGGCTAAAGGGTACACAGAAATGGGTAAGCCAGCTCAAACGAAGAGTTTTCAACAAGTTAGCCGTATGCTTGAATTAGGATGACCAGCTTTCGAGAACCCATTGTACATGGAGTGGGACTTTAATTCCCTTTATATGGAAACTCTTTCGAGGATTCTGACACTAATTCGACCAATGCAACGGCTGGGGATGCAATATTCAATATTATCGATAAAGAAAAATGTGTGAATATCTTGAATCGGATGAACCTATTTTCTCCTAGCTAGACCAGTAGTTTCATGGTAAAGAAATCGTCATCTTTTTCATACAAGAAATAAAAAGGGCTATCAGCCACGCCACCTATTGGTGGCCAGCGCAATGTGGAAAACGTGGATGCAGTGATGTGAAGGTTATGGAGAAGGGACAGGAGGTCGATGCTCGTAGCCTTATCTCAAGCAGCACTTACCGCAGCCGTCCTCATCTTCTCCCTCACTGCAGTCTAGCCACTGGTCGCATTTCCAGGACCCAGGAATGCAGCTTCCGTCGTTGCAGGTGAACTGATCAGACCTACAAGCTAGATGGAAAAGACAGCAGACAGGGGATTATTTCAACACGCTTGGTGTTACTTTTTACTGCCTCCAGTACATTGTTGCATTTGTAGTTGTGAAAGTAACACCTGTTGTGTAAGACCAACACATTTTATTGGGCTCATCTGATAACACCGAAAAAATTGGTTTTTATACTAGTTGATTTGTTGCAGTATAAATGCTTACCCCATGTGACACTAAAAGGGTTCAGGTCTGCCTAGAGCGTTTTAAAGCAATAAAGGCGTACTTTGTCTTAAATGAATCCCAGAGCCGGTGCTTGTAGCCTTATCTCAAACAGCACTTACGGCAACCAGCCTCGTCCTCTCCCCCGCTGCAGTCGTCCCATTGGTCGCATTTCCAGTAGTCAGGGATGCAGCTTCCGTCGTTGCAAGCGAACTCATCAGAGCTACAACCTGTATGAGGAGTAAAACAAGGGAACGACGATTTGTCCACGACGTCTAACGAATGTGGGCGAAACATTGTGCTACCAATTGGTTGCATTGCAGAGTCCAGTCCATTCATGTTTACGGTAGACAAAAAATGGTCGACTCGCCGCAATTTAATTGTAACTAATATTAATGTAGACAATGCAAGGAATGTGTGATTGATCAGGCAATCCGTGCCTCAGAAAAAAACAAGGCCATAAGCTCAAAAGTCAAAAGCGTCTTGTTTTCTCTACCAGGTTTTGTTTGACATTTTGACAATTAGCATGTTGGCCATAATCGAAACAAATACATTTCTTTTTTGACATCCCTCAATGGGGGAGGCGTATAGTTAAAGTGACTCTCCCTGGCTACCAGTGGGTGGGTATTTATAACCAGTGTTGTAGTCGAAAACTTTTTTCCAAGTACGGAGTACTCCGGAGTACTTAAATTCCGAGGACCTGAAAGTCTGAGTGCTTTACCAGCCGAGTACAAGAACTGTTAATCAAGGACGAGATGTTGTACATCCGAGTACTAGTACTTTTAACTACGAGTACAAGTCAGAGTACTTTAATTAAGTCTGGGTAAATAGTCAAATTTATGTGTCAAAATTGTTTAAATGAATATGAACAATTGATCTATAAACCTTTTTGCAACTGATTTGTTTTTATTGAAATCTGCCATAGCATCCCCAAATCAGTATGTTTAGGTAAAGTAGGTAATATTTAGTCCTAAAACTGTGTATATGTAGCTCAGGCTCCTTGGCAAACACAAAACAACCATGATGACAACATGAATATGGCAACTTAAGAGAAAAATCACCAATGTCGTTGATGCATGGCCCAATTTTACAGAGTACAAAATTTGCCAAACAACAAACACACAAAAAGTGTCAAAACCTGGCATCGAGAACAAAGGTTACCAGCTTAAAACTATGTATGATCGTCATGCCAACAAACAAACAAACAAACGTAAGTTACATTCCGAAGTAATATCACAATGGAGTTGTGATTGGTGATATGTGCTTATGCACGTGGCTATGTAAAATGTACATGACCAGTACGACTCCGACTCGAGATGCATTATGCATGCGCAACACCAACGCGTAAATGTAGACGGTGAAGTCTGCTTTCCAGACTTCATATTCCTATGCCCGTGTTTTTTTATATTCTAGATTCTGTGTCAGGTCCGGGAACCAGACAAGCTACAACTAAATTGAGTTTAGTCTTGGACCCAAGACGTCTTTCGCGATGCCTCTATTATGTTATTGCATGCAGTGTGCGGTGTACGTGTACTTCACAAGGCGATACACAGCGACAGTGCCCCTTCTCACCGCTACGTCTGGTGATGATTCGTGTCACGGAATAAACCTGAAGATCTTTGAACCAAGACTAGGAATATACTGGCGTTTCGCGTTCCTAATTGGCTAAGATGGCGAATGTGTAGGCCTTGTGTTTGTCGGACCTTATCGAATATCGGTTTGCGAGGGTCGATTTTCTTGTACCGTTGTATTTCGATGGTAGTTACGGGAATTAACTGATTTTTATCGAGTAATGTTAATCGAGTACGAGTACCGTGATGCTTGAGTACAATTTATTTCCAGTATTTTGCAGGCTGAGTACAAGAACTGTTGCTCGAGTACGAGTAGTCAGAAATTCGAGTACAAGTAAGACACGAATACTCTGAAACGGTAGTCGAGTAGTACTCGAGTACGAGTACCACAACACTGTTTATATCCTCCATCTTCCTGAGACGTTTTTGCGAGTGAGTGTTGTGCCTACACAGAACTTTTATGTTCGTACTTTCATGAAATGTTTCCAGAAGTAGCTTTACCTTAATGTAGAGTAGACAATTTCTATTTTTCTAACAAATTACTTTTGTAACATATAAAGAAAATAATAATATTAAAATAATATATTTGTCTAACTCGGTTCAGACATTCTTTGAACTCTTTGTGATACCAGAAACAAAATCAATGCGTTTCATAATAGTCTATATAACTGTCATATGTTTTTCGCCTCACGTTAATTTAACAACTTAATTGAGTTTTAAACTGGCATGCTGGATTGCTGAATGTATGCAATTGTGTTTATGGCTGAATCTTAGTTCCTTTCTCAATTTGTAAATTGGTAAATATTGTGACGACGGAACCTTACCTTGGCGGAGTTGGTGGCGCTGTTGCTGCACCTTTGGCGGATGAGACATACAAAGTCCTGAAACAGAAGAACTCGGGCCGTTGAAATTTACTTCATGACTATATACCGTGGTGGGACTTGTGTCTTTCTACTGTCATTGCAGGTTTTAATACATGTACATGTAAGCCAGTCACTACAGTGACTCGACCCATAGTACCTTAGCATTGGTAATAGGTGCTTGGACATACACCTTCATGATGTTGTTTTAAAAAGTTCACATCCAGTGCCAAAGAAGCTACAGAGATGAGTAAAGATTGTATTTGAAGGGTGAAATTCTTCTTTTATTATAGAAAATAACAGCCAAGCTAACATTTTCTGTTGCAAAAGAAACTTCTAGTACGTCCTAAAAAACCGTAGGGAAGTATGACGAAATCGTACGGGAAACATTGCAGGAAAGGATCAGGTTGCAATGCGTTAAAATTGCCATACCTGGGATATGGACAACGAAGACTACCGAGTGGTGTGCAGCCTTCGGGGCAACATTGAAAGAAAATATAACATCGCCTGCTTACGTGGCCTGTATTCAGCTGAATTAAACCAAAGCTGACTTACCAATCAGCAGCGCTCCGAAGAGCAGCGAGAACAGGAGGCTTGGTGCTTGCATGATGAGATGTGCTCGGGGTGCAGCTTGGTATCTACCACCCAAATCCTGGCGGCTTTTATAAGATTTCTGGCGCATCTGTCTTGTATGGCCTTCGTCTGTGCTGTGTACTTTTGGTTTTATTCCGGTTTATAATTTTCCATTTGTCTGATTCCTGGCATGTATTTAAATAATCGACCCGGTGTAAATTCACAAATATTGGCTTGACTGCGCATCAGGATTTGTTGATGACGCCTTCAAACAGAGCATCTGCAACATGCAAACTTTTGGTTTCGACTGGGGTCATCGTATTTTTAAGTTTTTGTTTCAGTTTTAAACCTTCCCTTCGCTATTTGTGTTTCAATTTAATTAAACAAGGACTCTCAACATACATTTGACAGGACTTCTGATAGTTCTCAGCGGAATTTGCAATGAGTGCCCTTTTCAATTCGTGTGATTTCTGTTTGTTAGTTCATGTGCAACAGAAAGGCAGGTTGTTGGAACGTCGGAGTGCAAACGATGAGATGTCTCAAAGTTAAATGTTTGAGGGAATAAGCAGCAAACAGACCTGCAGCTGGGGAAATTTGTGGCATGTAAACTTTGTTTCTTGCTGGCAGGACTTCAGGGAAGCTTCGGAACTCGCCTATGGCACTACTGATTACCAAAATAACAGCAACTTTTCATAGTCGAGCAGCAGATGTTATCCAATAAATACCAGAGTATGTTTTGGCCTGAATTCAAGTTGGGTATTGTTCGCAATTCTAAACCAGCTCTCACATCACGATATAAGCAATACGGGCTATTCACAATGCAGTACGCCACTCGGCATCTCAGTAACTGCTTTTGTTTCTCTTGGACGAACATTCGATATTGTTTGTGGTGAGTGGGTGTTAGGTAGTCATTTGATGATTTTGGGTGGTGCAGAGAATGACTCCATCAATTAAACACCCTTAAGTTACGTACCGAAGTGCTCTCAGTCAAGGCAGAATGTCGACCCTAAACTTTCAAAGTGTCCTGTCTGAGGGAAACTCTTGATGGCGCACTCTATTGCGAATCTCGTATTAATTTCTTTCCTCTGAAATCATGTGTCCTCCGGCATGTAGAAATATTATATGCGGGAGTAGACAAAATATGAAAAGTTAATAAATTTATACGAATACCGTCGCTGTAGGCCCCATAATCATTCAATTTTCCCGAATTTAAAGTTAGTAGTGATATACATTTAAACAATCTACTGACAAAGCTTAATACCCAAAGTAACTCTTTAAATGCAAGAATGAAAAACTCTTTAAAAAGTGAATCCTCTTTGGAACTAACTCCAAAAGAGTGTAAAACTACTCTAAAATCAATGACAACTCGAAATACAGTTGTCCTTTACATGAGTCACATTTTTTAAAGTGATTTTCACACATTTGAAGTGGTTTTATTCTTTAGATTCTTTAATTAAGAGTGGTTTCCACTCTTTGTAGAGTGGTTATCAATCAACTGATGTAGATTTAAAAGAGACTCACTTTTTTTAAGAGTGGGTTTTTTACTTTTTGAGAGTAACGAATGGCACCGTTGATTTTGCATTGATCTAAACAAAAACAACACACAAGATACATAGAAATCCAAGGAGTGTTGACGCAGAAATATAGTTTCGCTATTTTGTGTGTATCAAGTTCGCCGTCATATGACTGTCGGCGTGAATAATTTGTTTTATTTAAATCACACAAAAGAAAGGAATGCCTGTGGCAAAATGTTCAGATATAAAAATAAACCCTGACCTCAAGTGTGGCTCGAAAGTTACAAAGAAATTGGCCAGGCTGACACATTGATGCCACTACCTCCTGAGCAGCGGGTATCTGCAACATGGGTTTAAAGGCGATAACAGAAACTATGATCTCGGTTGAAACCAAAAGTTTACTTATTGCAGACGCTCTGTTTGAAAGAGTCATCAACGAATCCTGACTAGAAGTCAAGCCAATATTTGTAAATGGACAGCAGGTCGATTATTTAAATACAAGCCAGGAATCGGGAATAATGGAAAAATAAGTAACTGGAATAAAACCAAAAGTACACATCGCCGACGAAGGCCACACGTGACGGACACGCCAGAAATCCTATAAAACTGCCGGGGTTTGGACGGCGAATACTAAGCCACATCCCGATCACATCTCATCATGCAAGCACCAAGCCTCCTGTTCTCGCTGCTCCTCGGAGCGCTTCTGATTGGTAAGTCAGCTTTGGTTGTAGCTCAGCTGAATGTGGTCCGCGTAAACGAGGCGATGTCGTATTTTCTTTCACTGTTGAACTGAAGACTACAGGACACATGGACGACTTCGCTGAATCGTCATATTTATGATGGCAACACAGTGCAGCCTGATCGTTTTCTGCAATGTGTCATCCCTAGACATTTGCACGAGTGTTTCATGGTTCTTTGGGACTGTCGAGTAGTTTCATTTGCAACAGAAAACGTTGGTCTGGTTGTAATATTCGAGGGGTACAGTGAAATATTTTATGACTGGCTCCAGAAAAATGGGTAATAAGTCGCCAGATTCAGGTTAGGAGTTTTTGATGTGACTGGATTGTGTACATCAAAAGCTACATTTTGGTATATAAACGACCCCTGTAGTGAGTTGCGTTCCGGAGATATACAGACATCCACATTTTCGGATGCAATAAAAGCACTTTTTGAGAAAAAGCTCAGAAAGTGTAGCACTTGGAAATGCAACGTTTTGAAGGATTTCCTACAGAATCTACAGAATGATCAATTTTTAATCTTTATTCATCAGTATCCATGTTTGTAGTCACACATTCTGAAAATATATAAATGTATAGAAGCTATGAAAGGAAAAAAACAAAATCACATTCTTGAAGAAATTTTGCCCTCTCCAAATAGAACAGCTCAAAACATGTTTTGTCATTGCGTGTCTTATTACCCTTTTTGCAGAGCGGGTCACATTTAATACAGCATCAATATCCTTTACAGGTATCTGACTTCTTTGGCATTGAATGTGACATTTCGTTTTTAATTAACAACATCAGAAAGATTGATCTTCCAAAACCTATACTGACAATGCTTAGGTACGAAGGGTCGAGTCCTTGAAACGACCGGATTACATGTGTTACAAACCAACATGACGGTAGAAAGACTGAGGTTCGAACGGAGTATTCAGGAAACAAATTCCACCTGTCCGAGTTCTTTCTGTTTCAGGACTCTGTATGTCTCGTCCGCCAAAGGTTCACCAACAGCGCCACCAACTCCGCCAATGTAAGTCCCATTATGTCAATAAACCTAGGCAGTTTACAGACAAGGAAAGGACGTTTGAGCAACACTCACCATCGCATCATCATGAACTAATGAAGCGTCAGCAATCCTGTATGATATACGTAACTTATTTGGACCTTGGAACCCTAAAAGAGCCGGGGGATCCACCCCATCAACTTTTTTCCCGATATC